TCTCCCGACAATTCCCGAAGGTTCGAGAGAACGAGTCACGTGACCTCGCTGACGCAACAGTATAATTATTTTAAATATGGGTTTTTGTTTATCATCCCCCTAAAATTCTAACACCAGAAGTTCTCACCAAACTTTAAAATGTTTTTTCCGTTTGTCAGATTCAAATGTAAAGGCTTAAAGGTTGTGTCAGCATCATGGAAATCAGCTGTAATTTGTATATATTTGCTATAAAAATTAAATTGCAGTTAAGGTTAAATGTATCAACCAATATTGTTATGTACTTGAAATAAGAATGCTAACATAGTTTGAAGTGTCTTAAGAAACATGCTATATTCGAATTTCTAGTGTATGCTCTAGCTTTCAGTACAATCAACAGCAGCAATGAAAGAGTAGTGTTGCAGCTTTTGCTATTCAATGATACTATAAAATTTATATTTCTTAAATTGTTGACTTGGTTTTTCAGTAGTATATTATGTAGGTTAAGATTTTTATTTTGTGTGTGTGAAGGGGGACAGGACTTGTATCATGTGGTGAATATTTAATGAAAAGTGCTTTTCAGCCTTTCTTCATAGTAAAAAGTGAATGTCAGATTATCATGTCTGAGTGTAGGGAAGGCTACATAAGTAACTCAGTGTGACACATGTGGAGCATAAATTAATATAGAACATTTCCATGAAACCTGTAAAAAGTTACAATACCTCTGTTCATAAAGAAATTCAACAAAATTTGAAAACTTCAGATTAAGTATTATTATGATATCTTTAACTGTGAAACTTCTGTAATTTACAGTACCTTAAAAATCTGTAATATGTGTAAAGAAAATTTATAAGCTGCTGATAAAAACAGTTTTCTTTATTCCCATTCATAGGCCAGAATGTACATAAGTTAATAAAGGATGGTCTTGTCATTCGCAAATGTGTGGCTGTGCACTCTCAAACCAGAGTTAGAAAGAATTTTGAAGTTCACTGCAAGGGCAGTCATTGTGGTCCTGGTAAAAAGAAAGGTACTGCTAATACCTGTATGTCTCAGAAACTGGTGTGAATCTGTAGAATGTGTGTTTTATGGCACCTTTTAAAGGAATATAGAAAAACTAAAAAATTGACAGGCACCTGTATGTTTTAGAATGGTTTAAATTTTTTGTGAGATCTTTGTTTTTTTCATAAGCTTTTCAGTGATTTCTGAAAAATTAAAATAATTCTTTTGTACTTTTATAAATTTTTAAGCAAATTTTAAAATGAAAGAAATTTTTGCCATAACATATCTTATACACTGTCCAAAGTAATATAAATAGACATTATATATCTCACTGTATCTTCTTTTTCCAAAGTTGCCTGTATAATCCATTGAGAATTATGTACACATTTCAAATATATCCCCCACTGATCTTTGATCTTATGCCAAGACTATAATCCACCTTGAAATATAGTTAGTTTCAAATTATAAGCAGGAGTTTGTGTAAAGTAAATAACTGTTAAAGTAATTACTTCAACTAAACAGTTGAGGAAAGTAACAAAAAAATTAATTTTTCATAGCATTAAACAAAAACATGATATACTTAGTTTACTTGAAGGTATGTGACCATGAAATTCTTCTGGCATTATCAGCTTCTTTACAGTAGCTGTCTGTGACTTGTTGGCGATAAATTTCAACAATAAACAAACAGCATATAGTCTGCTTGTTTTAAAATAATATATTAAAACAAGTCAAACATGTATACAAATGTTCATTACACTGTTGGTTATCACATTTGTATCCAGAGCTTTAAATACTTGTCTCTTTTTCATCAAAGTCCACACTGGCTGGTTCAGTTACTTTAGAACATAATTTGACAAGATGAATTATTCTTCTCTGCATTACAATACAGTCTGTGATAATTTCACTTTAAAAATTGTCACTGTATGCTCTTTATTGCTAAACTCACAATCACACAGTCTAGATCTATCTATATATATAACTTGACTAACACAAATGACATTTTGGATGTGTATTTGTAGCTTGACCAAGGCCCAGAATGTTCCACACACTACAAGAAAAACTTAGAAGATTCTAATAACATGATTCAATGATACCACAAGCACCAACTCACAACATATGAACTACACAATGTATGATTCACACAGCTATGTAAACAAACCTGTGATAAACTGTCGCCTGTAAAAGATATAACTAAATTTACAACTCTCACTATACTTAAACTATCTAAATCATAACACTGGTGCTATACTTAAACTATCTAAATCATAACACCGGTGCTATACTTAAACTATCCAAATCATAACACTAGTGCTATACTTAAACTATCTAAATCATAACACTGGCACTGTACTTAAACTATCTAAATCATAACACTAATGCTATACTTAAACTATCTAAATCATAACACTGGTGCTATACTTAATCTATCTAAATCATAACACTGGCACTGTACTTAAACTATCTAAATCATAATACTTGCATTAAACAGTCATATATATATCAAACAGACATAATAACTAGAAGTTTAAAAATCTACAATGTGTATAAGAACGAAAGAGAACTCTACATCAAATAGATCACAAAGAAGAAATAATCCTAAGTTTCATACAATATATTTATGATTTTGTTAGATTTATTTTATCCACGCCAATTTTTAATAATAAAATATACACCAAAAATAAACTGTAAATCATAAAAACTTCAGTTTTATTTTGTGGAGTTGATGGGAAAGATCATACAATTTTTTTTTAAAGTTAATGATATCAGTTGGCCTTGTCAAAAAAACAAAACAACAACAACTAACTAACCACACCATTCCACAGATTTATAGCTTGTAACAATTAAAAAGTTTCAAGAACAATTTTGAATACCCATTCTTTTCATTTCACTCAAACAGACCACCTACATGAAAAGTATCTAACTTCTAGGAGTTTGAACACCTGAAGTCCCCTGTTTTAGAAATCAAGCTTGGAACTTTAAAGCCTCTCCTTGTAGTTTAAATAATTATAAACCAGATATAATTTTAGTTGCCTTTTTGTGCATTAAATCCATTATTCACTTTGGTATTGTAAGCAAGATATTTATCTAGGTCAGTGATTCTAAAACTATATGTGGAGCCAATGTTGATGGTATGTGATAAAAATTCATGTAAAGATTATTAAATTTGTAATATACCCAATTTGATCTTCCCATAAAATGTATACACTGGTATCCTTGCCCTCCATAAACTCACCAAAGTTTTCTTTCCTTCAAATTGATAAAAGTTGCACCACATATTTTTCATTTGTGCCAGAAAAAACAATACTATCCTTCAAGTTTGTGTAAATGATAAAAATGCTAATATTTTCTACTAGGTTTTTTTTTTACAATTAGACCTGGATTTGTGCTTCAAAAAAAGTTTACACAAAAATTAATATGCAAGCCTGAAAAAGTTTGAGAAAACTACTGATCCAGATAATTAAATTTTTTTCTGTAGTTTGTACTTGTTAAAACTAATCTGTTTCTAAAACACTGTTACTTTATATTCCTGATGGCAAGCCTATGTTTCAAACATGCATTTTACACTGTGTAACAAGTATTGAATTTCCAGTGGGAAACTAACATGGCTTAATCAAACCTTTCAATCATGGGCATTTCCATTCTCTGTTTTAATTGTATGATGTTTCAATACTGTTGTGTGTTACATATTTACTTCCTTTTTTGTAATAATAATAAAAAAGAGAGAGAGAGGGGCAAGTTTGATTTTTGTAACATTGTTTTAGATATTTAATTTCAGTTTGTCATTACTGCAGATTTATTATTATGTTGCTCATTAACCCTGTGGATAAGGGTAGATAAAAGTGTGTATGTTATAAACTTTTTACAGAGTTACAATCAAAATCTAATAAAACTTTTTTACTATTAATATATGTAAATAAACTTGGCATCAAAACATAGTTAATAAATGAAATTTTAATAAGATATATTAGATAGAATATGAAGTTTTACTGGAAAAAAGAAACTTGATATTAATTTAGAAGATTTTAGAGATTATGGAAATAATGAAAAAATATTTTTAAGCTGAACATGAAAATCATCTTTCACTCAGACTAGTCAGAATCAAACTCCATAAATTCACAGATAGTATTAAGTATCAAATACAAAAGACTTATAATGTTTATGAAAAGCTTGCCAAATTTTTAAAGACACACTCATTACATTAAAAGTTAGTTTAATGGATAGATAGAGCTGTGATTGCAAGGTTGGTCAAAATGAACAGCCTTGTGTTGAGAGGGTTAATCTGTTTGCAGATTCTACAAATACTTAATAAAATTACCTTACACTCTTTCATCTTCTGTTAACAGAAAACTTAATTGCATTAAAAATTGCAAATATTAGTTACTTTTAAAGCCAATACAGTTTAACCTTTCTTTGTAAAGACGTATGAATATTTTTGCTTCAGTGTATTTTGCTAATATAATTAAGAAACCTAAAATTGTCACATGCATAAAATAAGTTGTGCTCCCTTACACAAAAAATCTGACTTGCTTGTCATTCATGCATTGTTGCTGTTTCTTCATGTAAGTCAAGTGCTATCCTTGTGACTACATCAGGGAAGAAATAATTGCAAGTGTAATATTTATGTTGTCATGAGGGTTTATACTCTGCTTTTCTTAAAATGTAATTAATTAAATGCACAAGTTTGACAGAAAGTTGAATTAAAGCTAATTATATAAAATAATATAGCCCGACTATAATTATGCATAAGTTGTTGTATGAAAACTTTACTCCTAATTTTCAAACGTGGGTAGGAGAGTTCTATATTCAGTAAAGAAATCTGTATTGGCAGTTTTGGCAAGTACAAAAATATTCTGCAACAAAACAAAGAAAAGAAGAATTTTCATACTTTGTTTCTTTTTTTTTGCTGTATACTTCATACTCTAGACATCTTTTAGTACTCCCGAACACCTGTTGAAATACTGAAGTACAACAAAGTAAATTAAACTAAAGAAAAAAGTTGACCCATTCTAACACCTTAATGAATATTAAACTTTTTAGATGACTACATAAGCTAATCAAATTACTCATGACAGATAATAATATTTTTTTCTGTTAAGATACCATGATCTGTACATGCAGGCAAAAGGTAATGTCTTCAAGAACAAATGTGTTTTAATGGAGTTCATTCATAAGAAGAAGCCAGAGAAAACCAGGATGAAAATGTTCAGGTACAATATTACCATTAATTATTGGTCTTTTAATGTTTCCCAACTGTTGTTGTTTTGGATGCATCGTGTCCAATAAATAAAAAATTAAACTTTTAAAGTTTTCTTTGTATTGTAGTACATAACACTAAACATATTATTAAGGCTTTTTACAGAAACTAGTGTAATTGGCCAGTTAGATAAAGCTATGGAGATATTCATGTTTTAATAGTTGATAATAGTAGTTAAAAAATCTACAAAGATACAACTATATATATATATATATATATATACATACATACATACTTGTAATTACAAGTTTCACATAAAAGGTTTGATTGACAAAAAAAAAATTGAAATTGAACATTACATGTAATCGTGCTTGGAAATCGTTTATGACAATCCTCTTAGGATACTTTTTTAAAAAATCTTGTGTATATTTGAAAGTAACATTAAAATTTCAAACAGAATTTTATCTGTGAAATAAATGCAGCATTTAAATGGAAAAGTAATACCAGAATATTAATTTCATTTTCTTATTCCAGTGATCAAGCTGAGGCACATAGGCAGAAGGTAAAAGAAGCCCATAAAAGTGTGAAGACAGGATCCAGCAAAAGAAGGCAGAATTATTATATGCTTTCCAGAAAGAAGAAGAGGCAACCAAGAAATAAATTGATTCTTTGTATGGTGATGTTATAAGAGATATAATCAATTTCATTTGAATTTTAAGTTGTGCTCTATTTATAAATGTTTATGCTTTTGCATTTCTAAGAAGTGATACTCTAGAATATTTAAAATAAAATGTGTCCAATATATGGTGGTAGGTTCCTGAAGAGTACCACCAATAGTGAATAAATAAAACTTAAACTTCTATACACCAGTTACATTTATCAAACAGACCATGTTCAAAAAAATTAAAAGTCACAGACTTGCATAAACACACATTTCATAAAAAAAATCAAGTTAATTTGAAGTAAATCTACTTTGAATAGTTCTTTGTATGTGCCAATTTTGTTCTGTTTGTGTTTAACTGTTAGCTAGTGGAGCATATTGTGTACAGGAAAATTATCTCCATCAGCAGTGTCAACATCAAATGATTCCTGTGTAATAAGTTCTTGAAAAATAATCTCATCTGTTTCAGCCTCATCACTTGATCTACTAGACATGCTTGGATCATCCTCATCATGATCTCCGTAAAGGATCACTTAAATCTTCATCACCAACAGAATCAATTTCATTGTACATGCCTGATTTCCATTTCTTGGCTGCACATTCTACAGACATGTTAGAAGGATTTGTATCAAATTTCCTTTTCCTCCTTTTTTTTGCCATAAACTTCTCTAAAGCTGCTGCCAGTATTTGTTCCTTTTCTTCATGTGTCCATTGAAAATAATTTGTTTTAATCAACAGAAGGTTCTTCATTGTTACATATTTTAAACTAAGCCTTTGGTCTGTGAGCATGTGGGTAAGGTGACTAAACTCTGTCTTTACAACACTATTACTGGACCCTATTGCAGAGCACTATTTCCATCAGCAAGCAAACATTCTTAAATTCCTTGCTTCTGTACAGAAGCACTCACTCCCAGAGATACTTAGTTTTGACTCCATTCTTGTAGTACTTAACCATTCTCTTGAATTCTTTCCATTCTGAGCTTATCTTAGTTTTACCAAAATTGTACATTTTTATTGTCTCATAAAAGTGCTCTGCAAGTAAATCTAAACATTCATTTTACCTGGTGGTGTTACTGCAGTTTTTTGGATCTATCCAAAACACATGTTGATAAAGTTCATTCACAAATGAGGAGAATCTTGGTTCAAGACAAGACTGTACACTTGGAATGAATGTAACTCTCAGTTTTCTCAGCACAGTCTGTATTGTTCATTAGCCTGTAGTTGACACTGACAGTAGTGTATTCTCTGTTATGTGTTTTTTGGTGCCCTGCTTTAAGCAAAGTGCTATTAAGATGCCAACGTTTTCAAAAGATTTTCATAATGTGTACCTTAAGTTTATTCCTCGAGTTTCTGCAAGGCATGCTTTACTTTTTCTACCATAGACAGAACTCGATAGCATAAAATGTTTTCTTTTTCAAACTGCACAGACAGAATAGAACATGCATTTAGCACATCCTCGTGCAAGCAACGTTATGACAGAAAATTGGTCTTTTGTCTTTTAAAGAGTTCATGAAATTTAGCCAATACTACTCTCTCCTTGCAACTGGCAAGGTAATTCTCTATTGCTCAAGCAAGAATTACTCAATAATTCAGTAAATGATTTACTCTATATCTTAGGTGTGCAACAAATCAGGTACTATGTCCTTTGGGAAAATTAAAATGCTGCACACCAAATGCACTGGCAGTTGATGCAAAGTGCCTTTTGAGCTTTCCAGATCATTTGAATAAGTAATATATAGTTATCGAGAAGTCTTTCACATCAGCAAATGATTTAGATACACTATCTTTCAATGCCAGTTCAATTCTATGGGAAATGCTGTGAATGCCTAGAAGACAAAGGTAATTGTCATTTTTCAGTTTTGTAAACTCCACTACTAATAGAGGTTCCATTAACTATAGCTGAAACTAGCAGGTAAGTGTATTTCTCTTCTGAAATTGAAACCTTTCCATCACTTTTGAATACATCATCAATGCTCCACTTTAGATTACTTACATCTGCATCACCAAAGCTATCAATGCACTTTAAGGCAACACGGAAATAAATTGGTATACCATGTTTGACTGTTCTAATGAAAAACAGTTCTTTTTCAGGACCAGTTTTTCTTGCCTGACTTCCATCAAAAGGCACTGCAAAAGCTACTGTTGAACATAAATTCATTAATAATTAATAACCAATTTTGTAATTTAAACTTTAACAAATTGACTTAATTTCTCATTTATAAATTTTGGATGTCTGTATAATACTATATAGTTTGAAAACATTGTATTACTCTGCTTGTAATATTGCTAGTTTAGGCCAATTAAAATTAATGTACCAGAATTGTAGTTGCTAACAGGGTCACGTAAAGTTATCTGTGGGTTTGTCCTATGTAAACAAACAATATCTGATTGCGTGAACAATGACCATCATTACAGACTTGAAGGAGACTAATAAAGCCTTGCAAGTCCCATTTTACAGGCACTTATGAGTATTAGTGTGATGTCACCTGTCAAATGTAAAGGCCTGAATTTGAGCCTCACCATGTTGTTACAGATCATGTTGCTATGTTCCACCATGTTCTGTTTGACAACATCACATCTTGACAATAGCTTTGCAGCAAAGTTTCTATTGCAACAAGCTCAGTTATTAGCACACCACTCATACCTGCTAGCCTTCCATAATCCATCTAGTATATGAAGATGATGATTTCCCAGCACCTTTTTCAATGGCACAAACAAAAATAAATTCATAGGCAGTACAACTAGAATCTTGACTGGTATGCTTTGAATGGAATAGCATGAATACTCATTAATTATTCAGCTGTTTGAGGTGTACAACAACTGAATGGGAGGTATGACTGGAAGCCTTATCTTGGTGAACTTATATCCTATTGTTCTTGTTTCTGTACAAAGCCAGTATTTCCGTGTGATACAAATGGTCCAGATCATTGGTCTGACAGCAAGTAGAGTTCATCTTGACCCTTGTATCCAGTCTCCTGATCTCTAACTTGCTCCTGAAAACAGTATCCAACAATGATCATGATTCCCTTTGAAACAACTTTTACAACAGGCCTTGTACTACTTGAAATTTTTTTTTTCACCAATTGACAAAATGAATTGAGACTTGTTACACTTATCAAGATATACATAAACTGTTACCACACACTACCATTTTCTCTTGGCTAGATATAATTCATACAGCTTTCAACAGTTGGTCTTCTTTTCTTTGATATATCATGTAAGTAACATGTCACTTTTTCAGTCACCTGTCAAAAGATGTTGCATTTTGCTTACCAGGGCTGTGGGTACAACTTGTTGTAGGTCTCTTCCTGGCTAGTCATAGTACTCCCAAGGTGATCCATATTCTTTTGTTTTTCAATGTCATTAAGTACAAGGGATATCCTCATCTTGGAAATTCTAAATCTCTGACCTGAACACATCTTTATAATCTAAGTTGAATATATTGTGTTGGAAAGGACTGTTATGTACCATTCCCAAAAGTGATTAAATTTTGGTGGTATAAAACTAATCACATAGCAACATATCATGTCAAAATGTAGTTACAATACTTGCCCTTCCACCATGACTTTATATATATTGGCTGTGTTGTGATTTGCTGTTTTGCATATTCGAAATCACTTTAGTGTAACATATTCAACTTGTAGCTCATTAAGCAGTAACATGCTGTATAATCAGACAACTAATATAACAGTATATAAAGCACTGACTCGATACAATTGGCTAAATATATTTCATATGTATGGAAAGAGGATAAATTACTGATCCAAGGTAGGTCTACTGACAGCAGCATCAAGTAAACTTGTGCACTACAAGAATGCTTAAGCACAGAAATTATTTAGACAAAAAATACTTATATTACATTAATACACACTTCCCTAAACTGATATTATTGTCATAATGTATGAAAAACAAAAATATATTCAATAAAAGTTTAAATGCCTCAGCCTTGTCTTTTCACCTTCCCATGGTATTTAAACTATACCTGTAGCTGTTTCCAAAATAGTGACATTCTGTGAGATTATAAAAGGGTAAGAGCTATGTAACAGGCTCCTTATGAATTCTGTGAAGAGGAGGAAAAAACATGTGGGAAAACAAAAATGTGAATAATTATATTCTCAAGGGATGATAGTATTTTTTTATTATTTTTGTTTGTGAATTATATTAAATATTAAAATGACAAATTATCAATTTTAAAATAATTTTTGAGTAAACAATTGTTGGGATAAATAGTTTCATTTTGAGTTTATTTACTGATTAAGTATATTTTATTACAAGTTGCAGCTTTTACTGTAAGTAAGTAACTTGTAATACATTTATTGGGATATTAATGTAATTTTTGACACTTGATATGCAATGATGAACTGTACACCAGAAAAGTGCTGTGTTCACGTCTTATAAGAGATTTCGATGTTAGAATGTTCAGAGTAAAACATTGGCTTGCTTACCAGTGAATCTGTTTCATCTAATCATTTATCTGTCTGTTAGTTTTTCTGTGCATATACATGTATTAAATACTTTGAGAATGAAACTAAATTGCTGTGATGAATCAGTCCAAATCTCTTCAAAGCAGTCTCTGAAAGAATTTGGTATTGCATTTGAAGTGGAAAAATCTACCATCTCAGATATTATAAAATGCAAGTCAGAATACCTCAAAGAATAGAAAAACACTGGTGACAAATTTAGATTGAATACAAAATGCAAATTTGAAATACTACAAAAAATTTTATTTCACTGCTTTTGACAAGCTAGATGAAAGGCAATTCCAATGTTTGGTCCAAATATTCTGTAAAATCCTCTTCAATTTTCATACCATTCCTAATTTTCAAGCATCAGATTTTTGATTGGATAAATATTAAGCTTTTTAATCAATGAAAAAACCTTAAGTTTTTGGGGAAGGTGTTAGTGTTTGCTCATAAACTATAGAGTTATTGCAATAATATCCCCGACATTGTATGGTTTCCAATATTTTAAACTGTAATGAGATTAGCCTTTTCTTCTGCACTTTGCCAAAGAAAACTTTAGTATAAAAATGGAAAGTGCTGAAGAGGCTAACCATTATGTTGGCAGATAGAATTTCTCTATCTATTGATGTGTTTTAATGCATACACATTTTACATGTTTGTAGTTTTAAAGAAATTAACCATTATTTCAGCATGTATAATTTCTCAATTTATCTACTTGTGTGTTTTAATGCATACAAATTTTACATATTTGTTGTGTTAAAGAAATTAACCATTATTTTGGCATGTATAATTTCTCTATTTATCTGCTTGTATGTTTTAATGTATGCAAATTTTCCATATTTGTTTAGTTTGTGATTTTTGTAAGTATGCCATAATTAAAAATTAGCTTTTCTTTCTTTTTTAAACTGTACAATATATTTCTAACCCTTCAACATTTCTTTCTCAATCTAGTTTCATTGCAATACAGTATTCACTGCCTGACGAAGGGCACCTACTCAAAACATTGCACAAAATAAATTTTCTATTTAGATGTGTTGTTTGTTTCAAATTAGTTATGCTCACATTTTGTGGAACAACAGCCACTCAAAAGTTAATGATTTGCCTAATTTAATAAACATAAGAAAAGATAATTTCTCTGTCAGTCAGCTTTAATATTTAAATGTTTTCTATTCAAATACCATAGAAAAAATCTTCAGAGAATATACATTTTCTTACAGTACACATCAAGATATTAAATTCACTGTTGAGCAATGATTCTTTACCCCATTTTTAATTCAGTCATCTTTTCCCTAACTTCTACAAATGTAGGATGGATTTTGTACAATATGAACTGTTTTAGACAGATATAAAAAGAAATGTATGCAGAAAATCTAAAATTCGTCTATGAGAAGTCTGACAGAAAGTTATAAAATTCAGTTATTTTTTGCTAAGCGTTCTTACTGAAATAAAAATTCAAGCTTGAACTTTTGTCTTTTTATTTTATTATACAGCACACACGTAGGTTAAAATAAGTTAAATAAGACTGAAAAAAGGAAACAATTTGTGGTTTTTACTGAAAGAGAATCTGTAAATTGTGATGCTTGTAAGCCACACATATAATTAAAGTTTCCAGTCATTTTGTGGCTCAATATCTGCTCAAAGTTCATTTCTGTAATGATTAGTTCACAGGTTATCTTTTGAAATATTCAAAGACATTAAAAGTAAAGAACTGTTTTCAAAATTTTTAAGAAATTTGGTGTGAATAATAAAATGGAGCAAGTTCATAATGAAATATCCTTGTTTTTGCCAATAAACTAGAGCAGTGGATTCTTAAAAATCCTGTAAGTAGGAATACTTTCTAACATGAATAAATAAGTTTTTCTGAGCTGTTCCTAATAAAATATCCAAAAATATTCATAATACCCATAAAGTTAAATTAAAACAAAAAGTATGTAGTGAAATTATGATAAGATAGTTAAGTGTCTTGTATTTAGTTCTATATTCAGTGTTTAAACAATAATAATTGGACTAGAATATTTATTAACAACATAAAGTTACTTTGAATCAATAACATTATATATAAAAGCATTGTGACTCTTCACTTCTCATAAATCAACTTCTAATTTCTTTTCTTCTTCTTCTACTTGTTTCAAAATATTGAGGTATTCACTAGCTTTAATTTTTTGAGGAACAATATCTGAAAGAAAATGAACAGAATATTTAGTAAATCAAAAACTATATACTATAAATAAGACAAGTCTGAAATTGATAACTTTGTCCACAGGTAACTTATAAAGCCTTCAAAACTCTAATTTTAGTATATTTTAACTAGCATGTCATGAATATAAAATTCATCATTATTTTATAATTCATCATGTACTATCATCTAAAATTATAATCAGGTCAAAGCTTGCATAAGACAATCTAATCCAAAACACTTAAGTGTGAAAAAAGGGGTGGCCAAAAAAAGATTGAGCATGCAACTTAAAAGTATGAAATCAAAATTGGCAGCCTAACTAGTAGCTACACTTATAGTATTGATAAGAATTTTACAGCAAATATTCATTCATTAGTTACCAGGTCACATTTTTTGTCCAACTTGGGGTAGGATGGTGGGTAAAACAAAATAAGCAGCCAAGGTGTTTTTGATCAAATATTATGACTTTTTATCAATACACACCCACAAACCACAGCAAGTAAGAAAGTGATGCTTAATAGTAAACAACATTAGCTTTAGGATCACAACCCTATTA